CAACTGATGTGTTCTGCTTCTCAACTGCGCGTTGCAACCCCTCGCGCTCTATTGAGTGTACAGAAACGTGTCTGTCCGAAAGAGACTTCTCAGCGCAGTTGCCTCGCTTCTTCGCAAAATCTTCTCCCTACCTCGAAGGCCATCCGCTGGATTGACCTCCGTATGGATACGTCGAAGTCTCCAGTGAATATTGGCACCAACCAATTGCATACGCACAAGCCCTTCTGCAAATGGAATTCAACGCACCATTACTTATACAGCCCTTCTCCAGAACTAAAATTCATACCATGTTGTCACTCAACGTCGAACAGGTGGTGTCCACGTTGTCCACACTCCTGCGCAACCTTCTCAAGCTCATCAAACAAACGCGCGCTTCTTTTGTGTTGACGTGATCTAAAGCGTCTGTCCAGGGCTCGAAACAATCAAGTCCCACCACGTGGGTCCCCAAAACAGGAGAGATCTCAGGGACTGCTGGCCTTTGCCCAATTTCGGCACATGGACGGTCGACCAGACTGGAGAATCCGTCCACATACACCCTGAACGCATATCGGGCTAAGCTGACGGGCGAGAATCTTGATCTCATTGACGTCGTAGTCAGCAACCGTAGTGGCCTCCTGCGTACACAGGTTGGCGTTGATACCAAGTCTTTCTCCGTCATGCCGTGGGGACACTCAAACTATGAACCCACTCTCACCCAACATCCACTTTTGAACACTGGTCAACTTCAAAATTGGAAAACTGGTTCTGTCAAAATAACCTGAAGCAAGCTGATTGAAAGATCTGATCCCAGCATCAAGTAGCCGTTTCAGCAGGTCAGCCGCCAACGGCTTGCCAAGAACCGGCAAGGGAAAAGGACCTCCCATGCCGTCCGTGGACTGGTTTTGCCCTTCTTCTTCTTATTATTCTTCTTCTTTTGTTCGTGAACTCGCCATCGTCATCCGAGTCATTGTCGATGTTACCTTTGCCCTTGCCCTTCTGCTGCTTGCACTCATTTCTGTGAAGCCGTTCCTGCTGCCAGCTTTGAGCCCGTTCTTTCAGGCGACCTGTAAGCCACTCTGTGAATTTGCTCCTCAGTGCAGTTCCTGCGACAATGTCCAACCCAGCATAGTCCCATGAACTGGGATTGCGCTCGACTGCCACCTCTGTCTGGATTGCCCAACGAGCCAGCAACTCCCCGGTCCCAGTTGGACCAACCTGATCATATGAATGCGTGAGATGAATGCGGCCATCCATCAGACACCGACTCTTCGACAGGGAACTGAGGGTCTTCCTGGTTCTTCATGAGTTGAGCTAAGGTCTGCGGACTGCTGTCTTTGTGGTCGCCCAGTAATCTCACCCGCCAGTTTCTGGACTCTTTTTGCAATCGCTGACGCTACTTGAAGCCACCCTTTCCGCGAACACCTCCTCCCGGTTGAGCAAGACCACATCTTTCGTAGTGAAGCAAGCCGAAGCACAGCCAGCCAGCAACCAAACCAAGGCCTTGCATAGTCGAATGGAGACCGACAGGATGGCGATGAAGGCCCCACAACAACAGCCACAAGCAAAGGCCACGATGACCAGTAGCAAAGCGAGAGCCCAGCTGACCCCTGAACAGGTGGGGGTCACCGGCCAAAACCGGCGGGCCTCTCGAAGGAATTCGAAAGCCAGCTGCAAAAACACCCAAGGCTCGAGCCAAACGATCTTGAGTCGCAAAGTGATTGTTTTGCTGGGATAGATGGTATATAAAATAGATATATTATATATATATACTATATATATATATATATATATATATTCGGCTGCATCATTTAAGTTTGACTTGATAAGATCTGAATCAGCTTCGGACGCGATTCCTTTTCGCACAAGCTTGAGAGGTCTGACTCGGTCTGAGTTCAAAAGTGCTTTGGTTAATGTGACCCTGTCACTGTGGCCCACGCCACCTGCACCCCTGGTGCATACCTCTGCCAGGTATACGTTTCCTACCCGTACCTGGTAGACTCCCTTAAAGTAGTCAAGAGGATACTGAATGTCAGTCCTATGACTAGATGGGAGTGGAAAATGAAGTAACAAACTGCAGTAGCCAAAGAGTTCCAACTCGTGTACTGCATAAACATGAATCGACCGCAGTGACCTCCCATTGCACCGCAATGTCACTGACGAGGGGTGTCAGCACTCACGACTGGAGTATTTAGCCAAGCCGACAGCCGCATGCAGCCGCTGCCAGGCAGAAAAGGCATCGAATCGTAGACGAAAGACTGAACTGGACCTGTGGTACTCTGCAGACAGCTACCACACGAGGTCGCTCACGACTGGAGCGTTTAGACAAGCCGACCGCTGCAAAAGGAGGCCAGCATCCTGCAGACTGCTGCCGGCGTGAACGTAATCATCACGAAAAACTTCAAA